GATAATGAATTGTTTTTACTCACTTTCATTCCTTTCTTCACGACCTCTCCTAATAAACCAATTCTTGAGGTTTCTTGCTTTGGAGGATAAAAAATTGCAGACAATTCGTCAAATGGAGAAGGACGAGGAAGATCTTGTTGTTGTTTTTTCTGCTGCTCCTGCATCTGTCCCTTACCATTTTGTTTTTGAGGCTGAGTATTCATCTTGTTGTTGTTTTTGCTATAAAGATTTGAAAGACTTTATTTATTACTGCTTGTTTGTATAATTTCTTTGTTTAGCTATAGGCTTTAGTCTGTTGTATTTATAAGGGGATAAAATGTAAGAAATGAAAACTTTTTTAAAGAATTAATTTGACTTAGTGACTTTGTTTTATAAATTTACCAAAACATATATATTCTCCTCTTTCTCTTATACATTAATTGAGAATCATTACAATATGTGAACTATGTTATGTGTCATCACTAGAATCCGTAGAGAAGTAGGTTCTGTCATCTAAACATCTACTATACTTTATAAACTAACCATAAATTAATTAGTAATCTACGGAAAAAACTATTCCTTATTTTCTTCAAAATTACCTAAATTCACTCAAAACTATATGTCAAATATATTACATAGATTCTCAAAAAAAATTTCTTTCCTTCATTCACGATTTCTTCTAATAATCCGGTATTGCTCGACCCACATGAACACATTGGACTTGAGAGAGTGATCTCCACTGGAACCACCAACAAGTCTTGAGGTTTCTTGGTTTTGCTCGCGTTGTTGCGTTTCTCTGCGCTTGTTTCTCTGCATAGTCATATTCACCGAGAGTGGTTTAGAGTAGTATTCAACTGTTTTCACTTTGTATCAACGAAATCTTGATTAATTTCAAAGCATCCTCAATTGTTTGTAATTTCTTTTATAGGAATGTTAAATACATGTGAAGGGATATGGCCTCCTTTGTTAAAATTAATTTATGTTGTCTTTTGTTACATTCTCATCTGATTAAAGATTTTCATTTCAAATAATAATCTTGTGACAGTTGTAAAAACAGAGAAGGAAACTTTTCCTTATTTTAGTTTTAACAGTTTCCGGTTCTAATTATTTTAATCGATGATAAAATCAGATCTAAATGTGGAAGCACTGTACCCTAATGGTTAATGTTTAAAGGCTTCTACAGCATGTTTGGGGTTCGAATCCCAGGCTATGCAGTTTCTACACCAAGAGGGTTTATATGGGAACTGAAATTCACATCATCGATTTCCGTAAATTAAAGAACTTAAGGAAAACCCTACTTTCCCAAAGGTCCCGGATATCTGCTAAACCACACGTCAAGTAATCAGAATACGAGAAACACAGTAAAAACAATATGAGAATCGGAGAGCAAAGAGGTTTCTTATTCTGATTTTGCGTAAGAACGGTACAACGAGGTAAAGCCTTGGCTACAACGGCTGACGGCGAGTTCCCTAGTTCTAGCAACCTAAGACTAAAACCCTAGTTGAGACACAGCTCGATAACAAAAATGGAAAGTTGCCTAAATGCTAAGTTTTTCTGTGTGATGAGAGCTCTGAAATTTCGTCCCCTTCTCTTGTCCTCGACCTTGTGCTTATATACTCCTCTCCTAGGCGGTTTAGCCTTTCCTTTTCTGCCTTGATTCGTGTTTTTCAGAAATCTTCCATTTCTCTCGATTCTCCATTTTTATCTTGGAAAACTTCTATTTTTCTCCGAACTTGACATTTATCTTCTTACTGCACATAAATGGATAAACCAACATTGTATCTTTGGGCTGGATTTCGTCTAAAGTCGTGTATGGGCCATTATCGCGTTTTAGGACCATTCGGGCCGTTTTACGTCTTTGTCGTTTTACGACTTTAGACGAGATCGTTCCGTGATACGATGACGTTTTAATAAAACATCTCGAGTTAATCGTATAGTTTGGAAATCTCTGGTGTTTCGTTTAACCGTTGTCGTTTTATACGATTTACTCGAGTTTTTACGAGAAAATAAGTCTTTTGCGGTTTTTATCGTAAAACTCCAATGATAAGACGGATCGAGACGAAACGAGAGATGTTCCGATCATGGTTTAGAGTACAATTGAGTCAATGGACGTATGCCTATAACCCGAGCAATGCGGAGGGTAAGGCTCGGGATGGTCATCTTACCAGTCGGACGATCTGAACAGGACGGATCAGCTCGCCGAGACAGCGAACTGGTTCGAGACAACCAGCTCGCCGTCCCGTTCAGCTTGCCCAGCCGGCGAGCTTGTTTGGGACAGCCGGCGAGCTGGTTTGGGACAGCCAGCTCGCCGGCTGGGCGAGCTGGACTGCACGACTCAGCTCACCCAGCCAGCGAGCTGGTTTGGGACAGCCAGCTCGACAGCTGGGCGAGTTGGACTGCACGATTCAGCTCGGCAGCTGGGCGAGCTAAACTGCATGGCATAGCTCGCCCAGCTAAACTGCACGGCTCAGCTCGCCCCGCCAGCGAGCTGGTTTGGGACAGCCAGCTTGCCGGCTGGGCGAGCTGGACTGCACGGCTTAGCTCGCCCAGCCTGTGTTATTTTATATTTGATATCTTTTTAAAAAGAAAATAAAATCTTGTTAAGTTATATTTTGTTTTTAAAATAAAAATAGAAAAAATAAATAAAAACTATTTAAAAAACGAAATTTTTTGAAAATATCTATTTTAACACTAAAAAACTAAACCATAAACCTTTGGGTAAATCATAAATTTTTTGGAAAAATCTTAAGAAAAATTAATACTAACCAAATATACTGTTTCTTTATTTATTTTTAGCTTTTTATTCTTAAAACATAATATAATGTAACAATATTTTTTTTTTCATTTTAAAGATATATTAAAAGAATTTTTAATTTTTTCGCAATTATTACTGTTTTTATTTTATTTTTATCTTTTTATTTGAAACATAATATAATGTTAAAATAGTTTATAACAGATTTTTCATTTTTTGTAAATGTTATTATTTCTATTTTTTTTTATTATAAAAATATAATATAACTTAACAAAATTTTGTTTTAAAAAAAAAAACATATCAAATATGAAATAACACCATCCTATTGGTTGGTGAACCTAGAGGTTTAACCTAGGGAGTGAATCCAATAAACTTTCATCCACTATATATATATATATATATATATATATATATATATATATATATATATATATATATATATATATATATATATATATATATATATGTGTGTTAAAGAAACAAACCAACAAACAAAAATCTTGCTTTGTCAAAAAAAAAACAAAACAAAGGCAATCTTGCTCTGAGTTTTATATCTGTTAAGATAAAAAAGGTGCACTAGAAAATGGCAGGAAAAATGTGTATGATGGTGACGGTATTGATGATAATGAACTCTTGTCTAAATCCATGTAATGGAATGGATACTAATGTTCCCACACCACCGTCTCCCCTGGGGTATGTATTGCTGCCATACATGTCAATCGTTCATTTTAGATTATTTCTTTAGTAGTAGTATTGATATATGTATGTTTTCTAAATTTGCCATGATATAAAGGGAGGAACCAGTAACGCCCACACAAGACGAGACCGCGCTCTGCTATAAAGATTGTAACATCAAATGCGGGTCTGACACAGATTGCTTGGTATCTTGTGAGAAGAAATGCCCTGACACCTCTGCTTATTATAACCTTCTCACGCAACTTTTGATTCGTGAAATGTTTTCATTATAATTATGCGACCATACCACCAAGTCATCAAACCAAATAAAAACAGATCATTAACATAAAAAGAGCCGAAGTTATATTTTATTTAACATTATGTTTTCAGAAAATTTGACCAAAGATTAACAAGTCCATATACATAATTACGTAAATACATAATCTTTATTATCGAAAAACTGTTATTATCCAACAAATATACACAGGAGGGTGGAGTAAAGAAAAAAACATATGGCGTTGGGAAGAAGAGAAACCACAAGCACGTGAGTTTAAGCTATTTAATATTTCCATTGTTTCATTTTAGATTTATGCACATATAATTTTGTATATTTTTTATATAAAAGCATTACTACTTATACACCTAACCATGTTTCATTCAATATAAAAGTAAATTTCAGAACAAAATTAATAAATTTTACAATGAAAATCGAAATCGACACTGAATTCTATGACATGAAAATTTTTTATATAATGACAATTAATATAAAACGAAGAGAATACTATTACTAGGTGGCTAGGCCCACATTTTATGTGGACGTAAAAATATTTAAATACGAGAAAATTAGTAGTATGTTTTAGAAGTTGTGTATCAGTGAGTGAAATTGTGTTGTATATATGTTGTAATTGTATGTTTTGGGTGAAATATTATATATATTGTTGAAAACAATGACACATTTAAAGAAAATATGATAAAAAGTCGGAATATAATTCATAAGTAATATCATGTTCATTCATCACTGCCTTTTTTCAATAAGCTCATTTTTCCTATAATATATAGTTTTGATCAGCTCTATTTGATATTTAGAGCAGGTTTAATGCTGTTGCTAGAGGGTGCTTATCACCTGGGGCCCCACAAAAACAACAAGCTTCGACACCTCCAACTCCCGTTCAAGCGCCCTGTTTTACCAGCGCTTGCACTATTTCGCGAACTCCACTGATACATGGCGACTCGCGATTGGTTGCTTTTTAAATTTTTTTTTTAAATTCGAAAGAACAGAAAAGTTATAAAAAAAAAAAAAAAATTAAGCACCCCTTTCTCGGTTTCTGGATAAACCTGATAATCTCTCTTTTTTTGTCCAAAATAGTTGTCATTACCTGATGAGATATATTGAAGCCTTGAAAGTATGAAGATAACCAACTTGTTTAGAAAGTATACTGGTCATCAGGTCAGTAATGAAAGGTCCACGTCTTTGAGGTTTGTTATAAGAACACAGCGATATATTGATAAAAACTTTATTGATAGAACTGATTACAATATAAATACAATAGCTTGGATTTATATTGATAAGAAATAAAAATGCAAAACATGAAAACTAAACGATAATAACTTGACACCGAAGAAAATCAATCTCATTGCGCTCCAGCTCATCTCCACTGTCAACCTCACGGCCCTCTTCAGCACATTCCGACGAGATCACTCCACGTGGCCCGACTGCCTCTGGAGCCAAATTCTCCGGATTCCCCTCGAATAAAGAACCATTCACTGGATCAGGTCCATTAGGCTCCTTAGCCAAACCGAAGTCACCAAGTTTGAGTTCACAAAGCTCTCCATGAGCATAGCTCGGGAAGATGAATATGTTCTCTGGCTTGAGATCACAATGCACATAACCGTGCTGGTGAAAATCCCTGAGCACTTCAAGAACCTGGAGGATACAATAACCGACGACGTTCTCCGGTAATGCCCCACCGGCGTTGGTTAGCATGTCTCTGAGTGTACCATGTGGTGCAACTTCCATGTGAATGGAACAAACTTTCACGTTGAATGGCATAGTTTCGTAGGAAACCACAGGGCTCGTGGCTCTCACGGTGTTGAAATTGATTGAAAAGAAGCGTTCCATTATCCTTACTTCTTTATCGAGCATCTCTGAGTATTTGAGGTGAGATGTTTTCTTAGTCATGAATAGTCCATCGCGGTTTCGAACCAAGCTGACATAGCCATAGTTTCCATGGCCGAGAAAACCTAGTCTTGGTAATGGAGTGTCGTCTAAAACCACGAACCAAATGACATGTTGAAGTTACAGAATTAGTTTTTTTTTCCTCTTGAGAGAATTTAGAGATTGTGAAGATTACTTCTAAAGCATTACATCATATGTTAGAAAATTTGAGTGGTAAGTAATTAAGGTAGGTTTGACTTCAGTTGTAAATAGGATTTATTTGCATATATGTAATATGAAACAAAATTATATGTTGATGGAAATTAAGTTGTATGTTCAAAGTCAAATTTGAATCATTATTTTTGTTTCAAATATATGTTGCTATTAGTCAATTTAAACTTTTGAGTTTTGACACACTACTTTTTTTTTTGTTAAGAGCTTAATTTATTTTTGCTATGAGTTTCATTACTTGTTTAGTATCTGATTTTTGAAACCAAAACCAAGTGTGTATATACTTTTCCAAAAAGCTACAATCTTTTCAAAAAGTCCGTTTTTAATTTCACTTTTAGATTTAAATCCGACCACATTAATCTAAATATAAAAAATATTTTGTATAATAAATTTCTATAGTACTTTAGCTAAATATTTGACACTGCATACTACATATTGACTTATATTTATTTTTGACTTATTCTTCTCTAGGTTCATCAACCAATAAGATGGTGTTATTTCATATTTGATATCTTTGAAAAAAGGAAACAAAATCTTGTCAAGTTATATTATGTTTTTAAAATAAAAATTTAAAAAAATAAATAAAAATGTTAATAATTACAAAAACGAAAAAAAAATCTTAGACCGTAAAACCAAAAATGGGTCCAATAATATCTAGAATATTTTTTTTAAATGTGTAGACTCTTCCCCAAGGAAAAAAAGTCTAAAACTAGTTAGCTCACAAAAACTTTCTGGTGTGTGTTATTAAATTTATCGGTCATTTAATGGTAATTAAATATGTATGTATTTATTCTTTAGTTCAGTTTTACTTACTTTCTACTATCATTTTTTATATATAGTGATAAAAATGTGTTTTTACTTAGATATTATTTAAATACCTATTTCTATTCAGTTTAATTTATATGGTAACTTCATTTTTTCTTATTTGAAAAGTAAGAAATAGTGTTAATATGATGGATAGTATTGTCATGTAAGTTGCTAAAATTAGTATCTTAATTGATCTAAATAATTGCTAATATTGATTCATTATATTCATTAGTTATAAAACTTCTCCGTAACAACTACTCTCTCAGTTTAATTTAGATGTTGTTGTAGAGTAAAAATTTCATTTCAAAATAAATAGCCTTTTATTATTTCAATGCAAAATTTATTGATTTTATATGTTACTTTATTTGTTCATTAGTTGAAATGTGGTTAATTGTATCGGTAATGATATTTTTATTTTGAAAATACACAAAGTTAATTGTTTTCTTAATATATGTACATAAAACTAAAACGGTAACTAAAATAAAATGGAAAGAATGGATATTAAGTATGGTTCCAACTTCCAATTAATTGTTATGTCAAGCAGAAGGAAAAAATAATAATTAACAATATTTCTATGTTCTTCGTTTTTTAAGAAAACAAAAAACTATTTATCGTAACTCATGAAGTTAGAGATATGAGCAATCCGTCAAATTTACGTGTTTTGTTGTTATTATCATTTCTAGTTAAGAGACAAATTGGTGAGCACAGATTCTCGTCTTCGCTGGAACATCACTTTCACAGACGACTCACAAAAGCATATGAACGGTAATGATACATCCATCCCATTACCCATGTTATTTTTCCTTTTTTGAACAACTCCCATTACCCATGTTATTTTCGTCAAAAGTAACAGACTTATCTTGATTACAAATCAAACAAAACAAACTAAGCCCCTAATTTTTTAAAAAGAAAAATGTATGTTACCACAAGATATGTAGTAACAAGTACCTACTTCATAATATTTAATAGTTATATTATTTTATGAAAACTATAGTATATAAGAATCCAAATGTATAAATTTATATATTGAAATCAAATATCTCCAAATTATTTCTAGTGTTATATCCTAGTCTATTTAGCAGCTATTATCAGTTATACTAGATTTTGATCCGTGCGACCGCACAAATATTTAATGATATATTTTAATTTTTGTTTATACTTAATGTTAAATTTGTAAATGTAGCCGTATTTGTAAATATAAATTATATTTGTACTTAATTTTCTATTTTTTATTTTAGCGTTAAATGTATCATCGATATTGAGTATCATATAACCAAATTCAACATTTATATAATTAGATACATGTCTAACATATATAGCGAATACATATTTTAAACGAAAAGTACGAAAATAAACAATTATGAATTAGCATGCTAATTATAAATGATACATTAGTTATAACATTTGTAATAAAATGAAACTATTGTTAAACTTCTACCAAATTTGGAAAATAGAAAAATGAAGATTTAAACTTGATGTAATTTATATAAGACTATGAATGGACTTAAGTTTGTGTACATTTAAACCATGTATACGTGGATATTACTTTTTCATTTTTTAAATATTTTTTTCTAAGTGATAATATATATTCAAAATTTATCCATGTTCAATATAAGTTCATTTAATTACTTCAATAGCATTTAGTTGTAAATAACTTATAAGTTTAAGGGGTTATTTTTTATTGATATTTTTCTTTTAATAATATAGATATATACTATAAATAGTATATATATATATATATATATATATATATATTTGTAATTCAACCATTACTAATATGTTATGATAAAATTATAGATCCATGGTTAGAAATGAGTCAATTTACTATGACGCTATTATGACTTGAAGTGGTTAGTAAAATTTTTTTTAATTTTTGTCACAAAAACGTAGTAAAAGAGATTCAATTAGAGCGTAAATTACTTCGCTTGGTTAGGATTATTTTGGTTTGTATAGTTACTTTATATGCCATGTGCCAAATGACTATCAACTGAGTGTCAGTAAATTGTAAATTGTAAATTGTAAATTGTAAATTGTGCCAAAAGGTTACATGAGTGGGCTGGGCTTAGGTTAAAAAATTAGACAAAGCAATTTGCATTGAATGATCTCCCTCTATATAAACACATATTCATCGAGAGAGGATTATAATCTAAAGCACAAAACATATACTTAATATATTTTATTAAAAGAGAGAGAGATATGATGGCAACATACAAATCTCCCAGGAAGTTTGTTGACCTACTATCTTCGGCAGTCGAGTTCATTGAACATTTAACCAAAAAGAAAAAACATGTTTCGCTATTTTTTGCTGCTGGTAAAAATAATCAACTCTTCCAATTTTCATCTCATGTATCTTGATCATCAATCAAAACCTTTAATTAATTGCTATGTTTCACTGTAGTGGACTTGAGGTTCGAAGTCGAGCCGAAGGACTCGAAAACAATTACCGTGAACATACTTGGGAACCTAATCTCGGGAAGTTACAAAACTGTCACAGCAACATTCACCGTTGGGGAAGGCTATACAGCTAGCTGCCTGACGTACACCTTTGAGTTCGAGAAGATTAGAGATAACGTCAATGATGTAAAGATCGTTGAATCTCTAGTCACGTACATCCTTTTAAGCGATATCAGCTATATTAGGAAAGTTAAGTACAACTCCATTGACGCTGGGTATCCGCCCGAAGAATGCTTTAAAGATTTCGTCAACGCATTTGAAGTTGATGGTAAACTTTTCTACTTTGATTTATATCATTTAATTCATATTTACAGATTCAAACCCTAACTATTTTTTATGTTCACCAAAAAGATGAGGTGGAGATGCATGGGTGGTGTGGATTGGCAGAAAAAGACGTTTACGATCAACTTTCCTTCCATGATGGAAAATTTCAAGAGGACCGAAGTAACCATCACTGTTATTCCTAAGAATAAAGGTAGCCGCGTGAAATGGACCATCAAGGTCGAGAAGATTGATGAAAAAACCGAAGAGCCATACTCGTTGTTCTCCGTAACCTGTCCTATCCGTGAGATTATCCAGAGCAAGCTAGTTTCCTAAATAAATGTTATAAATCGAAAGGTTCATCTAAATATAGGACCGTCTAAATAAAGTGGCAGCATATCTATGTATATGTCTGCGTTTATTGCCGTATGTGCATGAATTTCTTATAACAGTTGGTATTGGGAATGTATGGACCTCGTAATGCTCTATGAATAATATATCTATTTTGCATATTATTGTTGGACCGATGATTATAATATATCGAAAAGGCTAATTTAATAATCCGCATTTCGTCACTGGGATACTACTCACACATTTACTACGATTCTGAAAATTAAATGTTTATCATTGACCAAAAAAAAACACATTAGTATAAAAAATTGAGAATTCTAAATACGTAAAATAAAAATTGAGAGGGTCCAATGCAGATATAAGCCAATTCCCGTCTACTGGCAAATTAAATTATACATACTTTTAACCAAAGAGACATTGAAAATTGGTAGTAGCTATTATCTGTAATCTTTTCATGATCAATTAACAGATAATTTTAAAGTTAAGTAATGGATAGTAACGAGACTTAATTAAATTTGTTACTATTACTTAATGTATGGAATGGTGTTCAGGGCATTGGATATAAGTTAGGATTGGCAAGGTTCCACATACAGAACGAAAAGTTAGATGGGTAAGGGTTTAGGTAAAATTAGTTAACGTATAACTTTCTATACATAATCACAAAAAATGGAAATTTCTAATGAAGTCTCTTGTGATTTAATAAACAAATCAATAAAAGAAGAAAGAGTACAAAAAATCAAGGGAAATTGGGTCCAGTAACTATGAAAAAAAACCAAAAATAATAATCTAGCCAATTTTTTTTCTCTCTCTCTCCTACATTCTCTTCCTATCTCTTTCTATTCACTCTCTTAAAATCTAATTTTTCTTATTTTTGTGGTTATTTGGCAAATAAACCTAAAAATCAACGAGAATCATCTAAA